TAATTATTATTAATTTTTATTTTAAAAAATAAAATAAAATTTTATTTTAATTATAAATATCATATGTTAATTTTTTATTTATTTGTTTTAAAATCAAAATCAAAATTTATTTTTTAAATTTAAAATTTCATGTCTTTTTAAACAATTATTAACTAATAATTAACTTTTATGGCCAAACCCATCAAACAATTCTATAAATAAATATTCAATTCAATTGCTTCGGAATGGGCTTGTGATTTGATGATTTCCTTTTTGAATTTAATAACTAATTATTGGAATGATAATCAACATTGAACATTGGAATTACTTAAAAAGAAAAAACATTCTTTTTTTTTTTTTTTAATTGGGACCGACAACCATTCAATTTTTACACTTTCCTCAGAAACACGCTTAATCCCCAACCACCACCCAAGACCAGACCACACCGTCACACAACGTTTCATCGCCCTGCACCACCACAGCTGAATCAGAGACACAAACAGGAAATCCCTTAAATCATATTTTCTCCATTTTCTGAGCTTTGACGACGGGATTGGCCCTGGCGATCTGCTCTTTTCCCATCTCCTTAAAATCGAAGGTGCATCCGTGCTGCTCCGGGTACCTATGGGTACCGCAGAACACCATCCCGCACCTGCACTCGAACCCCGTGAGTCCCACGCGCTTCCTGCACGTCAAGCATCTATTTGGACACGCTTGCACCTCCGCCACCGCCTGCCCCATTGCCACCACTGCTTCCTCCCCTCCCTCTCTATCCGTCACAGGATCGCTCTTCTCAACGGCAGGCGAAGAAGCGAAATGTTCCGAAGACGAGGAGGAGATGAGGGTTTGGTTAAGGGCCTGTTTTGCAGAGGAAGATTGTTGTTCTTTAAGCTGGAGATCGTGGTAACATTTAGAGCAGAGATTTTGCGTTGCAGGGCTGCCGAAGAAGCCACAGTTGTTGGCGCATAGACGCGGTGCTTGGCATCTGTGTTCCTCTGCCATTGGATTAGATCTCTGAGAAAAAAATCATAAACCCAAAACTAAAACAATTTAAAATACAGAACAAAGAAATCAAATCCAGAAATTTAATCCTCGAGAATTTAAAGAGAAACAGATCTAAAACAGACAATACTGAAAACCAAGATTCAAAAATCAAAGCAGAAATTTACCCAAAGAAGGCCTTGAAAAGATTGATGCGTGTGTGGGTCGGATCAAAGGGGTTAAAAGAGAAACTAAATCTGATTTTCTTCTGAAAAAGGAAGGAATCACAGGAATTTTGTTATGGAAGGACAAACAGGGAAGGGGAAGGGAATCTCTCTCCAACTTGAACTCCAGAAGAGGGATTCCTGGTCCCGGTTGGAGATTTCTCACTCCTTCTCTCCCTTTTCTTCCTCCTTGATCTTTTTCTTTTCTTTTCTTTTCTACCAAACAAGGAAAAGAAAAATAATTACGTCGGCGTTCTTCCTTCCCCGGCCTCTCGCCGTATATGCGTGTTAAATAACGAGCCGCTTGAATTTAATAAAAAAATCGCCTTTTGTTTTTTTATTTTAGTGGGGCGGCTAGAGGGCTTAAATTTGGGTGGTTATATTACTATACCTTTAATTATTAATATTATATTTTTTTAATTTATTAAAAATAAATAATTTAAAAAATATATAATATAAAAATATAATAAATAATTATATTAAAAAATATAACATTAACTATTTATAATACAAAAATAATTCATTTCTTAAATTGCCTTTGCAGCCTGCATTCGGAATTAAATTTTGATACTTAAAAATTGTATTGATGTCTAATTAATTTAGAATTAAATTAAGTCAAATTTCATTAAAAAAAGTTTTTTTAATATTTAATTTTTGTTTAAAAAATTTAAATTTAAATTTTTATATTAAAAAATTAAATTCCTTTCACTCACTCAATTCAATAAATAATTAGTACTTAATAGGCTATTTTAATCTTATGGAAGCAACCATCAAAGTTACAACAATAACAATTTAAGTTTCATTGATAAAAATTTAATTGAATTAATATTTATTAATTTTAAATTTTAAATTTATATAATGTAAAACAATAAAAAAATTATTTTATAATTTAAATTATATTAAATGATAAAATAATAATTCTTAAATTGAAATAAACTTTCTTTTCCTATTTGAGGCCTTAATTTTATAATATAATATAATTTCAATTACAAAATAAAAAAATTCTTCTAATATTAAAAAAAGAAAAGAAAAGAGGCAGCCGTTTAAGCTACGCCAAAATGGCGCCGTGCTGGACACGATCACAGCGGCGCAGATGAAAATTAGGGTACAGATGCATGAGTGTTGGGGGAAGACCTATTATTATTTTAGTGGTGCTACATGAATAATTTTTTTAAATTATTTTTTAAATAATTTTTATATGTTATTAAATAAATAAATATATTTAATATTATAAATTTTATATAAATTAAAAAAATTAATTA